CCAGGCGCCCCCAGCCCGTCCCAGGGAAGGCCGCACTCACTTCTCCCTGCGGAGCTGCAGCAGGAGGCAGGACAGGGCCTCGGGATGCTCTGGAACGGGGAGGGAGCAGAGGCTGAGCCGGGGCGGGAATGCTCCCCTGGAATTCCCTGGGAACGTTTTCCCCCCGGGATTCCCCCGGGAATGCCTCACCCTTGTACTTGAGGTGCTGCAGGATGGGGATGATGGTCTCCAGGGGGATGTTGTGAGCCAGGAACAGCTGCCAGGTGCAGTACTGCTCAAAGGTCTCCCAGTCCAGGCTCTGAACTGGGATCGGAACGGGAGAACGGCGGGAGAACAGCGGGAAAACGGCGGGAGAACAATGGGATAACAATGGGATAACAGGGATGGATAACAGGGATGGATAACGGGACAATGGGATAACAATGGGATAACAATGGGATAACAATGGGATTGATAACAGGGATGGATAATGGGACAATGGGATATCAGGACAATGGGTATCAGGACAATGTGATATCAGGACAATGGGATATCAGGACAATGGGATAACAGGACAATGGGATAACAGGACAATGGGATATCAGGACAATGGGATAACAGGGATGGATAACCGGGATGGATAATAGGGATGGATAATGGGACAATGGGATAACAATGGGATAACAATGGGATAACAATGGGATAACAATGGGATAACAATGGGATAACAATGGGATAACAGGGATGGATAACAGGGATGGATAACGGGACAATGGGATAACAATGGGAGAACAATGGGATAACAATGGGATAACAATGGGATAACAATGGGATAACAATGGGATAACAATGGGATTGATAACAGGGATGGATATCAGGACAATGTGATATCAGGACAATGGGATATCAGGACAATGTGATATCAGGACAATGGGATATCAGGACAATGGGATATCAGGACAATGGGATTTCCGGGATCTGTCTCAGCCCCTCCCCAGCTCTGGGCACCCCCAAACCCTCCCGGGGTCCCCCCACCCCACCGGGAACGGGGCCGGAGCTCACGCGGCTCCCCGGTTATCCCGGCTAATCCCGCTGCTCCCAAAGCTGGATCAGGGAGAGCGGGATTTGCTCCGGGAACACCGAGGGACCCCGGCAGAGGTTTGGGGATTTTCCCCTTGCCCGGCTCATTCCCTGCCTGGCACCGCCCGCTGCAGCCCTGGGATAAACCCCACGGTGATCCTTTAATGCCAGCAGGGAACCCGGCCCCGGGGACGCCTCGGGGCAGCTCCAGGGATCCCCTCTGGACACGGCTGGAAAGGGCCCGGAGCCGTCCCGGTGCCGCCACTCACTGAGGATGTTGAGCACGGAATCCTTGCGGAACATGACCAGGTTTCCCATCATCACGTGGCACACGAGCTCCTGCAGCTGCGGGGGCACAGGGACGGGCTCGGGGGGATCCAGGGAACCTTCCCAGGCGGGATCCGGCTGGAAAAGCTCCCGGGAGCATCCCTGGGATGGGATGGGAGCCGGGGGGGCTTCCCACACACACAGAGCCCACTCGGGCTCTCATCCTCCCTCTCCCTGCTCCTCTGGATCTGCTGGATCCCTGCTCCTCATCCCTTGGATCATCTGAATCTGCTGGATCCCCTGGATCCCTGCTCCTCATCCCCTCGATCCCCTGGATTCCTGCTCCTCATCCCTTGGAATCTCTGGATCCCCTGGATCCCTGCTCCTCATCCCTTGGATCCCCCAGATCCCCCAGATCTGTGGAGCTCCGCAGGGAAACACCTGGAGAAGGCCAGGGAGGATCCGGGGAGGATCCAGGCAGGATCCAGGGAGGATCCAGCGAGGATCCAGGGAAGATCCAGGGAAGATCCAGGGAGGATCCAGGGAGGATCCAGGGAGGATCCAGGGAAGATCCAGGCAGGATCCAGGCAGGATCTGGACAGGATCCAGGGAGGATCCAGGGAAGATCCAGGGAGGATCCAGGGAGGATCCAGGGAGGATCCAGGGAAGATCCAGGGAGGATCCAGGGAGGATCCAGGCAGGATCTGGACAGGATCCAGGGAGGATCCAGGCAGGATCCAGGGATGATCCAGGCAGGATCCAGGCAGGATCCAGGCAGGAGCCCCTTCCCGGCCGGAGTTTCTCGCACCTGGAAGGAGTCGATGACGGCCACGATCATGTTCAGCAGCTCCCCGCTCCGCAGGGTCTCGTCCGGGAACTGGGAACGCACAAAGCCTGGCGGCTGCAGGGAGACGCCTCCCAAAATCCCCCAGGGAACGGCTCCAGCCCGCCCAGATCCCTGGAATTCCCCGTGTTCCCTCTGCTCCCTGCTCCAGGGCCTCGCACGGGGACACAAAATCGACCACGGCGGGAGCCGAGGGCCGGGAACGGCGGCTCCGAGGGAGTGGGATGGGCCAAGGGATGGATCCCGGGATTCGGGGTCACCCTGGGATGGATCCCGGGATTCAGGGTCACCCTGGGATGGATCCCGGGATTTGGGGTCACTGTGGGGAACAGCCTGACCCACCCTGGGATGGATCCTTGGATTTGGGGTCACTGTGGGACACCCTGGGACGGGATGGGGACACACCTGGGACGGGATGGGGACAAACCTGGGACGGGATGGGGACACACCTGGGACAGGACGGGGACACACCTGGGATGGGATGGGGACACACCTGAGCTGGGATGGGATGGGGACACCCCTGGGACAGGACGGGGACACCCCCGGGGCTGGGACAGGACGGGGACACCCCCGGGCTCACCTCGGTGTAGATGGAGGGCGTGAGGAAGCAGAGCAGCCGCACGTCGTCCTCCTGGCACGCCTTCATGTCCATCATCAGGCACGTGTGCAGCTCCCCCAGCTGCGTGGCCTGAGCGAACGACTCGTACAGCCCCATCCTGCCCAGCGCCGCCTTGCTGGGGACACACACAGCTGGAACAGCTGGGACACAGCTGGGGCACAGCTAGAACACAGCTGGGACAGCTGGGGACACACACAGCTGGAACAGCTGGGACACAGCTGGGGCACAGCTGGGACACACACAGCTGGGGACACACACAGCTGGAACACAGCTGGGGCACAGCTGGAACAGCTAGAACAGCTGGGGCACAGCCGAACCACCGGGGACAGGGACATGTCTGGGCAGGGCCCAGCTGGGAGGGAGGAGCCAGAGGAGAAGAAGGAGGAGCCAGAGGAGAAGGAGGAGGAGCCACAAGAGAAGAAGGAGGAGCCACAGGACAGAGGGAGGAGCCAGAGGAGGGCGGGGCCGGGCTCACCTGGCCCGCAGGTAGTAGAGCAGGTGGTAGCCGATCTTGGGCTGTTTCTGGTAGAGCTCGGACAGCAGGTCCAGCAGCAGCGAGAAGCCGCTGTTGTCCTCCTGCATCTGGCACAGGTTCCTTGGGAAGAGCGGGAACGGCACCGGGATAACGGCGGGAACGGCGCCTCCCCCAAAAACACCCCCCGGGATTCCCAGGGAAGGGAAACGGGAAACTCCGGGGATTTCCGGAATTCCCGGGGATCTGGGAAGGGACCTACCGGAATATCAGGTACAGGGGCTTCCCCACGGACTCCTCCAGGGACCTGCGGGACACACGGACGCGCTGGGCTCCCGGGGAATCCCAGTGATCCCGGCCGAGCCCAGCCCTCGGGAGCAGCGGGAATATCCCCCGGGAAAAGCCCGGAGCCAGCCCTTACTCCTCGGTGATCTCCTCCGGGAGAACCTCCCCGCGGAAGTGAGCCTTGAACAGCTCCTGCAGGCACGAGGCCAGCACCGACAGCTGCTCCGAGTCAAAATCCTCCTGGAAAAGGGACGGGAGCGGGAGCTCAGAGCCCGACTGGCACAGGGAACGGATCCCGGCAGCGGGGACCCCGAAACAAACACTGCTGGGGACCCCAAAACACTGCTGGGGACCCTGAAACACTGTCAGGGACCCCAAAACACTGCTGGGGACCCCAAAACACTGCTGGGGACCCCAAAACACTGTCAGGGATCCCAAATCACTGCTGGGGACCCCGAAACAAACACTGCTGGGGACCCCGAAACACTGCTGGGGACCCTGAAACACTGCTGGGGATCCCAAAACACTGCTGGGGACCCCAAATCACTGCTGGGGATCCCAGACCATTCCCAGGGATCCCGGCCGTTCCCGGCTCCGTTACCTCCAGGACCTGATCCACGATTTCCTGCATCACCTCGCACTGCGCCTCCGTGTCACTGCGGCACAACAGGGACGGGAGATCCGCGTTACCGGGAGCGCCGGGAGCGCCGGGAGCGCCGGGAGGGGGAACTGGGGCCGGCGCTGGGGTCGGCCCAGCCCAGAATCCGCGGGGATCCTGGGCTGGGGTGAATTCCACCGGGAAAAGCGGGCGCTCAAAGCCAGGAATTCCACGGAATCTCCGGGCTGAGCCAAGGTCTGCGGGGCAGGAGCTGGGAGCTCCTTCCCGAGCCCTTTTCCTGCGGGAATTCCCTCTCCAGGAGCCCCGGGAGATCCGTGGGGACGGGCAGGGCCCCACCTGCCCTTCTGCAGCTGCAGCACTTTGTCCTTCAGGGACTCGTCCAGCTGCTCCAGGAACGGGGTGATGTCCACCGGCTCCTCCACGATGGATTCCTTGATCGGGTGGAACCTGAACTCCCTCTTCTTCCCTGGGAACAGGGAATTCCCCACGGGATGAGGGATTTTCCTCCTCCTCCCCCGGAGCCGGGCTCTGGGATGAAGGTGGGAATTGCCCCAGGCACTGGGAATGTCCGGGATTGTGATCCCTGCCCCGTTCCCAAACCCCATCCTCGGCCGTCTCCACAATTTGGGATCCTGGGGCTCCCAGGTGACATCCCCTGCCCCATCCCGGGCCTGTGGCCACTTCCCACCGCCGGGAAAACCCCCTGGAACTGCGGGAATCCCAGAGGGATCTGCGCAGCGAGGCCGGGAATGGCTCCAGAGGGGATCTGAGCTGGGATCTGAGGCTGGAAAAGCGCTGAGAGCTCCTGGGAACGGCCAGGAAAGGGAACCAACCCTTGGGGGCACAGATCCCGAACCGCTGGATCTGGGAATCGGCTCCTGCACACCCTCCCTGCAGGAGGAAAGCCGGGATTCCCACCGGGATCAGCTCCCGGCCGAGGAGGGAATCGCGCCTCGGGAGCTGGGAATTCTCCGTGTCCGTGGGGAATTCCGGAGCTCCCTCACCTTTGCTGTTCAGCTCCTCCTCGTCATCGCTGAAGGCGGCCTCGGCGTTGTCATAGCAACCGTCATCCTTCTCCAGGTGATTCTCCATCTCCATGGGAACCGGCTCCTCGATTTTCACTGGGAGCAGGGAGCCAGGTGAGGCTCCCCCAAACCCGGGGTCCCGCAATTCCCCAAATCCCAGCACGCCCGGCCCGGCCCGGCCCATCCGGAATTCCAGGGAAGAGCGCCCTGAGCGGATCGGCCAGGAGCCCCCCGCATTCCCTACCCTCGATGGGGGGCGAGGGAGAGCTGCAGAACTCCGGGAATTTCTCCCTGAGCATGGCCCGGAGCTCCTTGTCCAGCTTGGGGTTGTCGAAGAGCGGGGCCAGGTGCCTGCGAGGGACGGGACAGGGATCGGGATCGGCCGGAGCCCCCTTCCCACGGGAATGCCGGGGGCTCCTCCCCGTGCCCGGGATCGTCGCCCGCAGCTCCCCCGGGATCCCCTCCACAGCCCGGGAATGGCAGCAGGGGCTGGAATTCCTGGCAGGAATCCCGGGGCAATCCCGATTCCCTGACCCCACATCCCTTTTCCCTGGGGGAGCGGCTCCAGGGACACAACCCCCAGGTTCTCCAGGGAGCTCCCACGGCCCCGGAGCGCCGGGAGCGGCCGCGTCCGGGCTGGGAATTGGGGAAGAGCCGGGAAAAGCCGGGGCTCTTACGCCAGGACTCGCTTCTCCACGATGTGGGTGAGGGAGTTGAACACGCCCTGCCGGACGTGCGCTTCCAGAGGGGGGTAGAAATTGGGAATGATCTGGAAGAGACGAGGGAGGGAGAGCAGGGTCAGGGGGGGAGATCCCTGCCAGGGCAGGGAATTCCCTGGGGAAGGAAGGAGGGACGCTCACCCGGCACATGAAATCCAGCAGCGTGGCCGTGATGGCCGGGTGCGGCTTCATGGAGTGGTGCATGACCAGGATGGCGGGCTCTGGGGGAGGGAACGGCGTGAGACACCCCAGATCCCTGCGGGATCCACGGGATCCACGGGCTGGGATCCAGGGGATGGGGGCGGCCGGGTCCGGTGCTGCCCGTGGGTCACAGCGATCCCAGGGATCCCATCCCTGGGAACAGCCCAGGATCCCATCCCGGGCAGATCCCCCCAGATCCCAGTGCAGATCCCCCCGGATCCCAGTGCAGATCCCCCCGGATCCCAGGTAGATCCCCCGGATCACACACCGATGTTCATGATGCTGTCCTTCTCGGGGTTGAAGAACAGCCAATCGTAGAACAGCGCCAGTTTGGCGTTGGAAGCCGCCACGTTGGACTGGAGGAGACAAAAACCCCAAATGATTCCCTTGGAGATTCCCTCAAGATCCCTGGAGATCCCTCCAAGATCCCTCTTCACATCCCTGGCGAGCTGCTGGGGATCAGCAGCTCCGGCCAATCCTGATCCCTTCCTGATCCCATCCCAATCCCATTCCGATCCCATCCCGAGATTCCCATCCTGATCCTGAACCCGATCCCATCTGATCCTGATCCCTTCCTGATCCTGATCCCATCTCGATCCCAAACCCGATTCCATCCCATCCTAAGGATCCCATCCCACCCCATCCCATCCCATGGATCCCATCCTGATCCCATCCCATGGATCCCATCCTGATCCCATCTCATGGATCCCATCCCAATCCTGATCCCATGGATCCCATCCCAATCCCAATCCCAATTCTGATCCCATGGATCCCATCCTGATCCCCATCCCATCCCACCCCATCCCGATCCCATGGATCCCATCCCATGGATCCCATCTGATCCCATCCCCCGGATCCCACCCTGATCCCCCGGATCCCACCCCGATCCCCCGGAT